AATTTTCAAAGAATCCATTTATTTTGGTACACAAAATAAATAGGAGAACATCTTCCAAGGATTTTCAACATCTTTCAAAGAAAAGACCCAATTTCTAGGTTTTCTCACCAAAACTATTCATCTCCAAGATATTTAGAAGAATCTTCCCAAAATCATCTTTCTTCAATCAATATGGTATAAAACCTTCAATTTCTATTTTAAAAGGAAAAGAAATTAAACCCTCTTTCAAAATCACTCATCTTCTTGAAATCAACAATCAATTTCTCAAAGCTAATCAAAGGATGATTTCGAAATTCATCTAGATCTTGTAAAAACATATATATAACTCTAAGAAAATCCCTATCTCAAGTTTTGAAGAAGAAATGAGATGAAACCCCCAAAATCAACGATGTCGAAACTCGATCTTCACCGCACACAACGAAGCCCTCGAGATGATAACCAACTTTGGTGAAGAACTTAGGTCTAAATCCCAATGAATTTGGAGAAATCAAAGAGAGAAGATAACTTTTAGAGAGAGAAGCTCCCGATCTGCAAATTCTGGAGAGTTTTAGAGAGAGAGAGAGAGGACTGAAAAAGTGATATGAAATATCAGATTCACGAATTGATATAACATCATCCACTCGAGCGTGGAATGCCCCGCTTGAGCGTCAAATACACTAACCTAGTACTTTTGCAAACAAGTCAAACTTCTGAAACCAAACATTCTCTGCTTGAGAGCATAAACGGCCGCTCAAGCGGACAAACAACTTTGAATGCATTTTGCATTTCTGTTTTTGGGGCGCTGCTCTTCAACCCCGCCAGGGCGCTGCCCTAGGACCCGCCAAGGGGCGCTGCTCCCTAGACCCCCGCGAGCTGACCGGGCAGCTCGACCCCCAACAGGCCCAGTCGAAGTGGCAAAACATGAAAGAAGGATCGAAACCGGGATCGCTACAAATAAAAACCAAGATAAAATGACTAACTAGGGTTTTTCACTCAAATTCACTAAGAATCTGAGAATATTAACAGCAATCGCACCAAAATTAACATTAAAACCTAAATTGAAAGCAAGAGAAGGGGTTTTCACTCAAATTGATTCAGAATCTGAGAGCATTCACAACAATCGTACCAAAATCAACAATGAAACCTAAACTGAAAGAATGAGAACATGATTTTGGTGGCATTACAGTGAATGTTCTCAGATTCACAAACAAAATCAAAAACAAAAGTTTCGAAAACAAAAGTTTCGAACTCAACATTCATTCAAGCTGAAATGGAAATCAAAAACAAAAGTTTCGAAAATGAAAGATTTCGCAAAAACTAGGGTTTAAGATACTTGAATCTTACTTATTTTCACCATTTTTGGTTGTTCGGATGTTAGAATGTTTGATGATCTAGTTTGTTTTTGTGAAATCTGAGACGAGATTGATGAAGGAAGACGAAATGCGAGGCGAAATTGATGAAGGTGAGAATGAAATCTGCGAGTGTGAAAAATAGCGGGATGAACTGTGAGAATGAAATCCTGAATCTGCGATTTATGTTTTGTGTTTTGATTTGGTAAGGGTAGTTTTGTCATTTCAACTTATTATGGGACTTACTGGTAAAAAGCTTTTGAAGTAGGACTTAATGTACCATTATTTCCTAAAACGGGACTTACCTGTAAATCACCCTATTTTTATTTGATCCGCAAAAATCAGTGACTTTGGTACAAAGGATGATCTATAGTCACTTACTAAATTATATGTCAAACTCACCAAGCAAAAACTAAGGTAGCATTTGATAGAATTTTCAAAATATGATTTGAGAATAAGAGTTATATTTTGAGTTTGTGAGTTTTAGAATTATGATTTGAGTGTAGAAAATTTGTTTGGTGAAAGAGTTTTGAATTGAGTGGGAAATTTTTGATGTGTCATATGATATCTGATACAAAAACTTACAACTCATAACCAAACACACAACTCAAAAATCTATTAAAAGCTCATAAAAAAATTTCAAAAATTTCAAAAATATTGTTTTATTAAAAATATAAAATAAAATAAAATAAAAACAAGTCTCAATTGCAAAAAATAAAAAATAAAAAATGGCATTGTTCAGGTCAACTGGCCGGACATCTGGGAGACGATCGGTAGGCCAAATTTCAAAATTTAAAAGCCCGCCTAGAATGAGTTTTCAAAATGAGGGGTGGAATTAATTTTTCAAACCTCAAACCAAACATCATACTCGAATGTAGGGGTAGAATTATGATTCCAAAACTCTTCCAAACACAGCCTGATTTTCCTCACAACCAACCATGGCTATGGCTATGGCTGTCTGCAACTCTTAGAACCCCCTCTGATCACAAAACTTCTTCTACACGATCATTTGTTATCATATAAATCGTTTTAATTATGTAATTTTTTTATATATATTTTTTGAATTATTAATTTAAATTTTTATTAAATATTCCACTCGGGCCTCTCATCGGTGAGAGTTCCTGCACATTACTCCACTCCATCTAGCCAAAGGAAATACCTTCATTCAGCTCCGAGCGAGAAAACAACTGGCAATATCAAGATAAATTTTTAAGTTATAAAATGTGTTTCGTTTTAGTTTTCTGAATTCAATTTTTTGAAAATTGAGTTTTTTATTTTTTGTATTTTTTTCATTTTTAGTGAATATTTTTAAAATTTTAAACATTTTAAAAACTTTTTTTAGATGCATCTTACTTAGATGTATCTAAAAGTAAAATATTTGTGAAAAATTATTTTAAAAAATTATTAACTATACAAAAATACGAAAAATATATTAAATTTTCATTTTTTTTTTTGTATTTTTGGTATTTAGTAGATTTTTTTTAAAATTTTTTACAAAAATTAAACTTTCTAAATGTATTTATATTAGGTGTGTCTAAAAATTAAAAACATTATTTAAAATATTTAAAAAATTCAGTAAAAACAAAAAAAAATGAAAAACATGAAAATAAAATTAATTCAACCAAAAAAACATGAAAATAAAATTTTCTAAAAAGTATTTTCCAAAAACTAAAAGTAACTCTTTTTTTAATTAATTACGAGTAGTGCTCATGACAGAGATTCAAGAGAAATGGAATGTGTCAACAAAAAGGAATAATATTAATTTTATAAAAATTGAATTTATATATCAAAAATTATATGTATTCCTTTCGTTCTAAAATATTAATCCATTTTCAAAAATTATGAAATAAAATAATATGAATTTATGATTTTGTCCTTCTTTTAAATTCATTAATAACATAAAAGTAAAATTATGAAAATTAATATTCTCAAAAAAAAATGTACTATCAAAGGGTAATTTAAAAAAAATTAACATTTTTAAAATGTAATAATTATACTATTAAAAAAAGTTGAATTCTCCAAAATAGACTATTATTTAAGGCGAAGAGAGTATTTTATTAAAATAAAATAGAATAAAATTTATTTTGTTTTTTAATTATAAAGAAGGCTGCTAAATGTCCTTACCTTTCTATTTTGGACCCCCACTTTTTTGGGTCCCCACCTCTAAAATTGCTTCCCTCTTTATTTTTCTTTGGACCCTACCATAATCTCAAATATACCCTTTGAACCCCACCCCTACACCTTCCACCTTCAACTCCTCCTTCTTTTCTCCGGCAATCCCCCTCCCACTATGGCGACCTTTCCTCTCCGACAACTTGCTCAAATAGCGGTAGCAACAATAACAACAGAGCAACCGTCTGTTTCCTCGGAATATCAGATAGATGTGAACTATGTTTCAAGGAATGTAACAACTTTGGAAGCGTAATGGGTCTAAGTGCGAAAGGTGATTCCTCCATTGTAGAGAATCACATTGATGTTGTTGAAGATGAATGATGGATAACTAATTCGGAAAGCCCATCTTTTTGCCTTCGTTCCCCGTCGTTCGTAAAACCAGTTCCGAACAAAAGCTTGATGTTCGGTACTATGTAGCGGAACAAAAGGCATATGTTCAATTGTGGAGCACCGAACATATTCTACAAGTTTAGCTCTGTGTAACCAAACGAAGAGAAATTGACCAACCTGTGAGGTAGAGAGAGAAATTGATGGAGAGAGAGGGAGTTATGCACAAAAGAGAGAAAAGAGTGTAAGTTCCGAAGGATGAACATGAAGATCGCGAAAGAGAGTTCGCGAATCAGTCGCTCCTTCTCCGCGACTGCCACCAAAACCATAACCTTCGCCGCCATTGATAGTTCTATAAATAATAGGTGGTGGCGAGAGGCTCCCCGAAGAAGGAAAATAACGAAGGTGGGTTGGTTGTTGGAGGCTGCGGCGGGAGTGGAAATGGTGGTGGGATTAGAGTTAGGGTTAGACTTGGGAGGATAAGATGAGGACAAAATTGAAATTTGATGTTAAGATAAAATTATAATAAAATAAAATGTAAAAAATAAGAAATTCAAAGTAAAAAAAAAAAAAAGGACATTTAGCAATTTTCATTATAAAATGAGGTTAGTGATGTGATGTGTGTGCTAGGGAGAGGGAGAGAGAGAGAGAGAGAGAAAGAGCAGAATTGTGATGTTTGTTCGAAGAGTAATGTTAGAGATCCCAAATAATCTATCAAATATTTTATTAAATCTCTCACATAAGTACACACATGTAAAAGATTTGATAAAAAATTTGATAGATTAGTTGGGATTCATAATATTTTCCTTGTCTTAATAGCCTATCTAAAAAAAAAAAAAATTGTGATGTGTGTGATGTGTCTTGTGAGTGGGTCATTGTGTTGTGAGATAAGAGAGATTTGAGAGTTAAAAGTTATTTATTGGACTAAAATGACACAATCCGTTAAATTAAGGGACAAAATCAAACAAATTAAAATTATAGAGATCAAATTGACGTGCAAATAAACTAAATGAGGTGTTTACATAATTTACCCATATATTTTTAACTTGTTAATACTGTTGACATTTGTGGTTTCTCGTTATAAGGTAGTAATTTCCCCATTTTTAAAAGGCATAATCAACTTTAAAATATATTTAAATTTAATTTATTAAGGCAACCAATAGATGTCAAACAATTTTTTAACCGACTAATTTGGACAAAACGCGATTTTTGTGCAGCTTCAGATTCACAGAGACACCAATTGAGATATTGAAAGCATTCCCACCGCCAATCAGGATATGGGGGCCTTCTGAGAGATGAAGCAAGCACTTGGCTATGGGGCTACTATGGAAAGTTTGGTCATTGCACAAGTCTGGAGGCACAGATCTGGGCCATTTATAGAGTACTCACCATCATCTTTCAAAAAGGCACTACTGAAGTGGAAATTGAATCTGACTCAGAACATGCCATCAATCAAATTCTCCAAGGTCCAAGTCAAAACTCACCTTACAAAGCCCTCATTGAAGATACAAATTTCTGCTACAAAGGTGCAACTGTTCCCTTGGCCACACACTGCGAGAGGGAAACAAAGCTGCTGATAAATTAGCCAGCGCAGGATGATCATGTTGTGATACTTGAGGATCCTCCACCTGAAGTCACACCTTTGATCATTGATGATATGTGTGGTGTTAGTGTAGCGAGGGATTAACCCTCTGCTTGGTGTTTTGCTTCTGTGAACTCTTGTTTAGTACTTTCCTTTGAATCAAAATAAAAAGAAGAAAGCATTCCCTCCGAGACAGCACCAATGAAATCGTTTTTGTTGGGTCTCTTTTGTTCTAGCCCTAACAACTTCCCAAGAGAAATAATCCAAAATATTTCAATTGAAGTTGTCCGTGACATTGCTGAATCTGCTGTTTCAGAGCTTCAAATTCTGTAATCAAGACGGTGATCTAATCAAGTAAGCTCAAACTCGTGTGTTTTCCTTTTAAATTGATGGGTTTGTCCTCTTCTTTTGTCTAATTGAACAAAATGCTATTTTTTTTTATTTTAATTTAGAAGATATATTGTTTGTTTGTATTCCTGTTAACAAATTAAAAGCTTTTTTTTTTACAGCTGGACTCCGTCTTTTAGTTGAATTTGTGGCTTTTGGGTCGTGGGTTTGATTGGTTGGTTTCCTTTTGGTCCATTTTACTCTTCCATTTAGGTATGTTATTTTTTTCGCTTCCTACTATGATTTTTTTTCTTTCGTTCTTGGATAAAGCCCTTTATTTTGTTTTTGTTTTTGTTTTTGTTTTTGATTTTGATTTGAATGTGCTTTCTTGGTTCTGTTGCCTTACTACAATTTAATATTTGAATCACACTATGTGCTTGTGTTCTTATGTTATTATGATACAATTTGATATTTTGCTCACCATGCGTTTGACATTATGCCACTCAAAAAAAAAAAAAAAAAAAAGAAAAAAAAGAAAAAAAAAAAAAAAAACCAAACAAATCAACAGCCACTTTCTGTATGTTGTTCGGTGTTTTTTATTGGGAAAAATATTGTATTTTTATTGGTTTATCCTCCTTAGATGGAATATTACTAAACATCCTAATCAACAATATGATTCTCATTGTTGTTGCCTTTTCGGCTCAAAGTTGAGTTGATGAAAATTTTGGTTCTTTTAACAATAGTAACCTAACTTTCCTCTCTGGCTTAGAACAAAATAGAAGAACATATACTTTCCTTAATGACAGTTAGCATTATTTCTTCATCCCCTCACTCTTAGGTTGTGTTTGGTTCATGGATTTAGAGAGGAATTTGAAAAGGGAAACGGAAATAGAAACAGAAATAGAAAAAGAAAGTATGTGTGAAACATAGGTAAAATGTAGTTATATTCTATTCACATTTCACTTATTTTTTCCCTTTCTCTTTCCAAATTCCTCTCCAAATTTGTGAACCAAACATAGATATTATCCATTAGTATTTGCCCCCCCCCCCAAAAAAAAAAAAAAATGTTCACTCCCTCCAAAATAATACCTTCGTAGGGGAAAAAAATAACTTGCCCTAAATGCACTTACCCAACCAACAAATTATGCATGATGATTAAAAAAGAAAAGAAAAAACGATAAATATTAAGGCCAAGTTTGGCAATCCAAAAAAAATCTATCTTTTTATCTTTTTTTCATCACATCACCTCTCTACTTTTCTGCACATCATTTCGTAAAAAGACAAAAAGTGCACTTATTTAGGCTATCCCAAACAACCTCTAATACTAATAGTAATCTGTCTGCACATATACAACCTGAAATAAAATAGATTGGTTACAAATATGCGAATTTATGATGCGCACCCACAAAGTGAGAATTCTAAACTATTGTGGTTAAGTTACAAATGTTGCATCAAATACACAGTCATGCACAATTGGAAAACAAATTGAAGGCAATGATTTTAATGGGCTGGACATGGGAATATAGGTTCGTGGAGTTTGCAGCATGTTCTCAATTAATAGAACATGGTTGGTCGTGTCTTGGGCCATTTCAGTTCAAGGAAGGGTTCATGTATTGGTATTGATAACAGCTTGATTCCATCTAAGTGTGGTGCAAATATATGCGAAGCATGGTAATAACCAATGTTGCATTACTTGAATGAGTTAAACACAAATCTGCTAATCTAAATTGCTGAAAATAAATACTTGATTCTAATTCTAAATTTAAAGATTTAATGATGGAATTAATATTTAAATGTGGAAATTGAATTTACCATGATGTACTCATAATAGTTGCAAAGGCCTGCATTTTGAAACTGAAATTCTATATAGAAACCAAAACTACGACGTTAAGAGTGGCAATTATTGATTACCCATCCGATATGTGAGAAATAGGCTGTCATTTCCAGTCTCCTTTTTCAATTCATTTAATAGCATATTGAATTTAATGAACAAATATAAAATCCTCTCTTATTGTAATAGCTAAAAATAAATAGAAAAATGTTTGATGTATCTTGCTTTCTTTGACCCATGGAGAGATATACTTTGGAGTTTTGGACTCATTGACTCATTTGAAGGAAAAGGAAACATAACAAAGAAGACAGTATAAGAAAATGACAAAAAAAAGGGGGCAAAATCAAACAAACAAATTAATTAAAAAAAAATTCTAATACTATAATAGTTTAGTATACATATAAATTAGAAGAATCTATAAAAATATTAATTCTCTTAACAAGATCCAAGAATAAGACTAAGATTACTTGATGGCACAAAGGGATAGGTCTGAGAATCAAATGGTAGCGAGAGAGTTAAACAACTCGCGCACTCCCCTTTTCGTATATGTCAGGAGCCTATTGATAAGAAATAGTTGGGGAAAGCTTGAACCGAGTTCCCACGACCTCTTTCAGATATGAATCTACTTGATTCAAAAGAGAAGGGATGGTGTTTCTTTCACTTTTCGCATAACAGGCCCCTCTGAGTCAAAGAATACTAGCTGCAAACAGACTTTTACCGAATGAGTAGGCAACTCACAATCTCCATGTATGCTATCTAGATGGTTTCTTTGGGCAGTTATCAAATTCCAGAAACCATATAATTTTGTATGCCAGCAATTTGCGTTTCACGGTGTTTAATCTATCCGATCACGTTTACACTTTCCTACGCTCTAAAAACGGTGGCCACTATGGAAGAACAGGAGTTGATATAACCGACATCTAGGACTGTGCCCACTACATGTTTTTTGTATTTTGTGATAGAAATGTGTCTACATTTTGTGTTCTCATGAATGCGATTTCGTGTTCTCTTTGATGTTCATCAACCAAAACATTGAATTTCTACTGTGTATGTAGTTAATGGATTACCCTTCTGCTAATTGTGACAACTTTTGTGCATTGTTTTTCTTTTCCTCTCTAAAAAATTTATTTGTAGTGTTTTGGCTGATGGTGCAAAGGCTATGGGACACATACGAACTAAATGATATGCTATAGTTTCACTAACTCAACTAAAGTAGCTGCCCAAGAAGAGGTAAATTCAATACATTCTCACACTGATTATGATAGCATCCTTGTTCACTTGGCAAATGTACTATAAATAAATATTTTATCCAATCTTCAACTTGTAAATATATTGCTTCTCCATTTAGTGAAACAAGCAAAGATTTCTTGTGAATTACATAGTTGTTGTATTGAAGTACCCTTCTCTATTTTAAAAGTACTCAAAATTTTATTTTCCTTTTTTCTTTGCATAGTTTTGGTCACTTTTGAATCATTGACAAATGTGAAATAGGTGTTGAAGTCTGTGAGTTTTACAGAAGTGTTTGTCCCAAAGGAAAAGAGGATATTTGTATGTGGCTTGCTCTGGCTCGTGTTCATCTCATTTGCGGTGAGTTGGATGCCTTCAGGTGAGACATAAGCATCTCCTTCTGCAACTATCTCTGCATTTAGTTGCGGACCAATATTAGTCAAGTTGAAGCTCAGTGCAGTTGCATGAAGAGGGTTTACTACAAGGTAGTAACAGATGATTGCGTAGAAGAAGAAGAAAAAGAGAGAACAAAGTAAATTTTGTGATCGGAGGGGGTTCCACGAGTTGCAAACAACCATGGCCATGGTTGGTTGAGGATAACTAGTTTTTGGTGAGTGATTTTGACATATAAATTAGTAAATAACTGTAGACATCTTTTGTACCAAAGTCTTGCAACTTCTGTGTTTTTTTTTTTTTTTTTTTTTTTTTTTTTTTTTTTTTTTTTTTTTTTGGAACACAAGTTTTGCAACTTTGTTGAATCAGTCTTTTTGTGTACTGTTTCATAGATATAATTTTCTTTTCATTGCGTGTATTCTTTTTAATCGCAAAAAATAGAAAACATTGCTTGGTAATATTTTTATTTATTTTTTATATTATTCATTTGGGGTCCTTCTTATGTGACATTTGAAAACGAAATGTTGCATTTAATTAAGTTTGGTGCAAGGCCGGCATTAGGAAAGGCCAATAAGGCAGCCTTGGACTCTCGAATTCTTTTTAAAAATAGGTTCCTTAGATAATTTTAACTCTTATATTATGTTTGATTTATTAGAATGACATAATAATTTCATCATAATTTTCATTCCCACATTTGGTTCACTAAAAATTTATTAAAAATTATATTACAAATAAAATTATCATTGAATATGAATAGTTATTTTATAAAGAGTTTAATGAATAACTATTTCATTTCATTCAATTTTAGTGAACCAAACATTATATTATAATATTAGTAGTTTAAAAATAAAATTTTATTGGAAAAGTTTTAAAAACAATTGAATTGGTGAATTATTTAAAAGTAATAAATGGTTGTTTGTCAAATGTATGGATTATTTATAAAATATTATTGACTATACTAGTCACAATTTTCTTTAGAGAGAGAAATTTCTTAAAGTCAAAGTTGATCAAATTTTACATTACATCACAAAAGTTTATCAAAGTGACATTGTTTTGGTCTAAGTAGCACCATTAAACTTTTTCAAAATCTCATTTTAGTTGCATTTCTGTTAAATTTTACTTTTGTTGAAATTTTACTTTAGTAATGATAAATGAAAAGAAGGGTGACATTGTAATGATAAATGAAAAGAATGGTGACATTGTAACTTTGACATAAAGTTTAAGGGATCGACTGTTACAATTAAAAACGAAAGGATTGAAATGATATTATCATAGAAGTACAAGGGTGTTAAGTGTAATCTTTTGACGGGTTTGCCCTCTTTTGTTGTCTAATTGAGATTTTATTTTATTTTTAAACGATTGCTTTGTCTTCATGTTTACAAATTAAAAGCTTTATTTACAGCTTTACCCCAGTTATTACTTGAATTTGCAGTTTTGTCTCGTGGGTTTGATGGGTTGGTTTCCTTTTACTGTTTAGTTCTTGTATCTTTGTTGGTTTTTTTTGGTCCATTTTTCTCTTCCATTTAACTCAATAAATTAGTGTGCATTAGTGTTCTGTTCACTGGTTTTTAATTCTTTATTTTTTACTGTGTTTAACCGACTCCATTTGATGGGACTTAAGACTTGGTTTCGTTTGGTTTATTTTTTACTGTGTTGGAAACCATGTAGTAAATACACATGGCGTGACCTCGGTGTACACATGGTATGGTCTAACCTTGAAGACCACATGGTCCATCCACACATGGTTTACTCATGAAGAACACATGATATTAGACATGTGGTACACATGGTGTGCCCTAATCATGAGGTACACATGATTTGCCATATATACTTATATAAGGGCTCATACTCAGCATTTTGTAGACACACTAAAAATAATAAGTTCTCTCTCTATTTATCTATCTTGAAGCTATTATCTTGAAAGCTCAGGAATTTGGAGTGTGGATCAATTTTTGAAAAACTCTAGTAGTTTCTCAATTGACGGGGAGTTTTCCAGACGAGACTCGTTATTCAAGCATCCGATCCAAATTGTTTCTGCATCAAGTAATATGATTACTTGTATATTTTTCCTTCATACTGATTTTGGTGAACCAGTTGATTTCCATTCTTTGCATAACAATGTTCAGTTTCAAATGATAAACTAACTTAGCAGCAAATGAATGGTTGAACGTGTATATATTTGACTCCCTGATTTGTATCTATTTTTTATGAGCAAAAACTTAGGGATGTATGGCCGATCTGTAGATGGCCATTTTTTTTGATAAAGCATATAGTAGGAAGATTGTTTTAAAAAGTAATCACTTTTACTCAGAGATCATAGAAACATTAACTAAACATGTATGCAATCAAATGTCTAGAAATATCAAAGACTGAAATAACACTGATTCAACCCTTAAAATGAAGATGAAAGCATGTTCAGTGGAGGAGCAAAATATGTTGGCACGGGCATTTTCGATGGGAGAATGGGCAATGGTGCTTCAAAAGTAAGGACATGAATTGCTTGCCTTATTGAAGGCCGGTTACTGAAATCCGGGTGAGCACACCACAGCCCGACGATCATCAACCGTCCCATCTGTCGATTATCGAATTCTGCACGTAGTTTCGGATCTGCAGCTTCAAGAATCTGTCCTACTCCATAGAGTTCCCAAACCCACTCCACCAGCACTATCTGACTCTCTTTGGCATTTGGGTCAATTGGTTTTCTTCCACAGGCTATTTCCAGAGCCACAATCCCAAAGCTGTACACATCGGATTCTCTGCTTGCTTTGCCTGTCGTGACACATTCAGGAGCCATGTAGCCCATAGTCCCAGCCAAGTCTGTGGTTTGTGGTACTTTTCCATGGTCAACAAGCCTGGCTAAACCAAAATCTCCGAGCCTAGCATTAAAACTCGAATCCAACATAACGTTGCTCGATTTCACATCTCTATGCATGACACACTGTTCCCATTCTTCATGTAAATACAGCAAAGCTGAGGCAAGGCCTTGAGCAATTCGGTACCTCACACTCCATGACAATACATTTTCTTCCTTGAAGAGAAGGGTATCTAGGCTGCCATTTGGCATGAACTCATAAACAAGTAGTAGTTCTCCTTTCTCATGGCACCAACCAAGCAGTTGCACCAAATTCCTATGTCTCAATCGGCTAATGATCTTCACTTCCGATGCATATTCCTTTATCCCTTGTCTAGACTCCCTCGAAACCCTCTTGATTGCGACATAGGAGTTCCAATCCCTCAAGAAGCCTCTGTACACCCCACCAAACCCTCCTTCTCCAAGCTTCTCATCGTCTGTAAAGTTCTTTGTCGCGCGAGCCAATTCATGATAAGGAAACTTCTTAGAACCCATTCCTTTCTCAAATTCATCGTCCATGGCTGCGTTGAATGCAGGATGGTTTCCACCATTCCCCTTTCCCCTCTTTACTCTTTTTTTCCATAAGTAAACTAATGACAAAACCAATCCGAAAATCACAACAGTTGCACCAAAAGTCACTCCTGCAACTTCTACTATTTTGTTAGTTCCTACTCGGGATGATGATGTGTGCTTTGTCATGGCTGCAATTGGATCAGTATGATTACTTCTGTCATACCCAATAGTCTGTAAACTTGAATTGAAATACCATGAGCAAATGTAATGTATCTCAGTTGAAGCTCCGGTGGTAGCCGAGAAGCCAAAAGCAACCCATTCCGGCAAGTATTTTCTCAGATTAACTATGTAGTAAATACCTAATTCAGCATTGTAACCTTTGAAAAGTACACTCAGATTATTTAATTTAGCATCATAACTAATCCAAGAATCAACTTTTTTCCCATCATGAATACTAGCAGGCAAAGGCTTAGTTGCGACAGAGGTTACAGAGTTGATGTCAATACCGATATGAGCGCCAGTGTCAGAGTCCCATTGGTTTGCAAATGTATCAAACTCAACTGCAACAAATGGAGGGCCTGTTGAGTTAGTTGTCTGGTTGTTGCTCGCAAGACTGTGACCAAGGCCAAGACCACCACCTTCAGTGTTTGGAGGTATATGGGAACCACTGGGAGCAAGGAAGAATGCAAGGCCATCACCGGTGATTGGACTTGAAATGTTTGTCGTAGAGATCACGAAGGAGAAATGAGTAGTGAAGTCAGCGAGATTTCCTGAGGCATTGTCCCAAAGGTGCAGTGATTCTGTATAGGTGGCTCGTCCTGTCTTCCCGCTCATGTCCTTGTCGCGCTCGTTTAAGGTCAGTTGAATAGCTCCAGCCGCAGGATATGCATCTCCCTCAAAATTTATTTCATGGTTATTTGGATTGAAGCTGTCAAAGTTAAAAGACAAGGGAGAAACAAATGAGAACACTGACAGAAAGAATAACATGTAGAACATGAAGAGAAAAAATAGAAGCTGCTCTGGTGAACAGAGATGAGTATTTCTGGAGTTATAGGCAGCCATAATCAGGAGTAGTGTTTTATGGACTATTAGAAGCCTTCTTATTTTCTCATATGTTTTTGCTTTCTGTTTAATGTTTTCATTTTTTGGGAAAACACAAAAGTCTAATAGGAGGGTTGCAGTTTCAAAGTCATTTTTAATCATAATCCGCGAACGAAAAACACATGTTTCCTATTCTATGTTGAAGGCTTCAATTATGTTTGGAGTGTCAATTGGGTTGAGAGTTTGATATGATGTACAAAATTGTCTTCAAAAAATTATTTTGTTGGACTTGAGCAAAGTGACAATCCGCCTAGTCTACACGCCACAAGTCAATGTAGAGATTGGGCAGAGAAAGAAGGCTCATATAAGGAAAGTGACAATGAGCTTAGCAAGTAAAGTCTCTTATTTGGAGACTTGGGATCAAACCCCTCTCCTTCATCTGGGTAAGAAGTGTATTGAATTGGGAATGTATTGTATCCACACACAAACAAATCCACTCTGTCACTAAAATTATCACATTTCTGTCACTCTACACCTGACTATCAATTTGAACAACAAAAATGCAATGGACTCAGATTTCTTGTCCCAGATTTTTCTAGGTGAAGTGTGTTTGTGTGATGAAGTATGAAATGAATCTGAGTCATAAATTGTTATTTTTTTAGGGTAAAATTTCTAGGATTGTAGCATTACTATTTGAAAAATTAACTCCTTGAACTAATTAGTTCACTTTACCCCAAATCGGTAATATTACAAATTTAGACTTAACTATTCAGAAATTACCTAGGATTATCATTTTGTAGTTTAGATTTAATCATAATCCGCGAACGAAAAACACATGTTTCCTATTCTATGTTGAAGGCTTCAATTATGTTTGGAGTGTCAATTGGGTTGAGAGTTTGATATAATGTACAAAATTGTCTTCAAAAAATTATTTTGTTGGACTTGAGCAAAGTGACAATCCGCCTAGTCTACACGCCACAAGTCAATGTGGAGATTGGGCAGAGAAAGAAGGCTCATATAAGGAAAGTGACAATGAGCTTAGCAAATAAAGTCTCTTTTTTGGAGACTTGGGATCAAACCCCTCTCCTTCATCTGGGTAAGAAGTGTATTGAATTGGGAATGTATTGTATCCACACACAAACAAATCCACTCTGTCACTAAAATTATCACATTTCTGTCACTCTACACCTGACTATCAATTTGAACAACAAAAATGCAATGGACTCAGATTTCTTGTCCCAGATTTTTCTAGGTGAAGTGTGTTTGTGTGATGGAGATTGAATTGGTGTAGTGTGAGTCTTAAGTATGAAATGAATCTGAGTCATAAATTGTTATTTTTTTAGGGTAAAATTTCTAGGATTGTAGCATTACTATTTGAAAAATTAACTCCTTGAACTAATTAGTTCACTTTACCCCAAATCGGTAATATTACAAATTTAGACTTAACTATTCAGAAATTACCTAGGATTATCATTTTGTAGTTTAGATTTATTTTACATATGGATCCCACACTACATGAATTCAATCTCAACCGCACATTCCCATTTGGGGGTAAATTCGGGATCCACACCTCTTGGTCCATAGAATTATTCATCCCAAACAATCAATGTAGTTAATATTTTTTGAGCAGGTTTATGGACCAGAAAATCACCCAGAACTTACAATCTAATGCTAGGATTTATTTATAAAGGGGTCCACAACAATAAGCTTAAATATGGACCCTAGATCCGAAATTCTGAACAATTTCTAGTATATTTTCCTGGGACAACAGATTTTTGTAAGAGACAAATATCCAACCAAATTCCATGCAACAAACAAACCACAACGAATTATAATACAATACAAAGTACAATGAATTGTAGCAAATTATTGTCTCTATACAAAGGGTAAATTGATGATTTGAAGACGCAAATTCAAAAAAAAAATTTGGCCCAAAACAGTACACAAAAATCAAACCTCGAGGGCGTTCACGAGTTTTCTTCAAAAGTCAAACCACGAAAAGAGCATGTCCACTAGTTTGCAGTGCATCAAATGTTGATTATGCATTTTTTACTTAGTGCTGAAAAATTCTTGTGCCTATACACATAACACTTCAGCTTTTTTTCTTCAATAATTTGTTAATCATAGATGAATAAAAAAAATAATATTATAATTTGTTAGTCATATAACTTATGAGTAAATTATACTAATAAATTTGTTTTATATCTTGCCATGGTTGTCAAAAGAGATGCATAAATTTATCATGACATTTTTTTTTTTTTTTTTTTTGGCATTCCCAATTTTTTTTTTTTGCATTCCCAAAGATTTTGGGTAGTTCAGGTGTCCATGCAAGGGATTCAAATTATTAAATATTAAAAACTACCAGGAGAAATAAAATTTAAAAACAAAAATATTTCAAACATTTAGTGGCGTTTCTGTAAACATCAATGAAAGTCGCATAAAGTATATAGCAGTGTTTGTCTAAACGTCGGTGAAAGTATCCAACGGCGTGTACTTAAACGTCAGTGAAAATGATTAGTGGTATTTTTAAAACGACACAAAGCTAACACTACAACAAATTACACTTTTGGCGACCAAATTTGGCAATTAAAAAAAATTTAGTCACCAAAAGTTGTGGAATTAGCGACCAAAAGTTATATCACTGAGCAAAAGTACAATATTTAGCTACTTTATATTGATTATTGGCGACCAAAAAAAATTCAGTCGCTAAAAATGTCACAGTTGGCGACTGAAATTTTTTTTTAATCGTTGTATAGTTAGTTTTGGCTACAAAATTTATTTAGTCGCCGAATGAAAAATAAAAATTTACTTTTTATCTTTGGTCGCAAAAAATTTATTTTCAATGACTACAAAATTTGATAGTTGTTGTATAATTAGTTTTGACTACTAAAATTATTTAGTTGCCGAATGACAAACAAAATTTCATTTTTTACCTTTGGCGACCAAAAGTTTGGTTGCCAAAACAGTTATTTCTAGCGGCTAAAAAAATTTTTAGTTGCCAATTAACTAAAATATTTGAAGGGAAACATTTCAAATTTTGGAGGGATTTATAAAATTAATTGGTGAACAAAATGTTTTGTCACGAATTTTGTAAAATGACCACATATACATATTTTGTTCCAAACCAATCCCTAAACAAACCAGCACCTCTCCCTCTCTTCAGCGTCTCTCTCCCTCTCACTCTCCCTTTTCTTCTCCGCTACTCCTCTCCCCTCCGTCTCTCACCGCCACTCCAACAACCATGGAACAGCTTTCCTCCGCCGCTCCTCCTCGCATTCGCCGGCAACCGAAGCACCTCATTGTTGGTCACCATCACCTAAGATCCATCACTCATGGAAGCTTGATCGGCAGCTCCTCCCTCACAAAGAGTGGTGAGGCCATTGGTTTCTTTCCCCCCATTATCATCATCATCTGAGGTCGTCTCATCGCCGACTGTGCAAGTAAAAACCCAAATTTTGGATAAATTATGAGTCTTAGTTTCTGGGTTTTATTTTTGTGATATAGTTTATTGGGTGTGAATTAGAATTTAGATTGTAATTTACATTTGGATTAGAATTTAGGGAAAATTGTGTTGTCTTGGTCTCTTACTATGTTTAGATTGTTGGAGATGATTCAAACTTTGTGTTCCTTAGACTTACTTGTATTGTTCTCCCACGTTGGTGACCATATATAAATAAATAAATAAATATATATATATATATATATTATTTTTTGATTTAATACTTAGCTATATTCGAGTTTAATATATTAATTTGTTAGTGTGAACATTTTACCACTATTGATCATGTAATGGAAATCTTCATTTCGAACTTATAATGGAGCATATTTGAATCTGGAGATGCCGCTTTAACCCACCAAGCCACTCTAGTTTTAATTAGATCACAAAGCACATTCATATCTGGTTGCTTACCTAAAAACACAATCTCATTCCTACACTTCCAAATGGACCATAGAACTGCTGGATGTATGGCCTTCCAGATTTTCTGCTCTAATCTTTTAAAGCTAAAACCAGCCCACATTGCAACACTCCCGTTTATTAAGTTGCACTATTTAGTAATGCATAATGATTAATGCTATGAACTGGATCTCCTTATTTCTAAGGCGATAATTAGAAAATAGATGTCAACTGTAGTGAAAATTATGTTAAGGTTTTGCAATAATAAATTTGCTTACAAATTGTCCTTTCGAATGAAGTGCTACTACATACATCTCCAATGTGAAGGCAGTATTTTTTGTAACAACCCTCATACTGTTTACCGATTAATGATTGATTGATTACCGATAACCATCGATTACCGTTAAACTGAATTGATTGTGACTGATGATTGAATTGATTAAAAGTACTGAACCGACTGACTGAAATTGAAACTGAATTAGCCAAGTATATCTATTGTGTTGCACATTCTATCTGTTTGATTGATTAATTATCTGTTCATGTCTTTGTGTTTAAACTGCTAATTGAAGGCCTTATCGGCGGCCGAATCCGGAATTGATCGTCATAATTAATGTGATTTTATAGTAAAGTTATCTGAAAGAAATGACTAGGTATGATTAAATTAGATTAAAACGAGTTAATTGCAAAGTTTGCCGTAATTACCAACTTGCCACTAAGTGGGCCACTATCTCACACACCTTTGAGCCTTGTATACACTCATACACTTGAATCAAAAACCATTTCCTCAGCCCTTTTCCTTACACTAGCCGACCAAGAGAGGAGATAGGAGAGAATTGAGCTCAACTTGAGAATTGCTTGCTAATTGAAGTGTGGATTGCTAGATTGAACCTCAAGACTAGTAATTAAGGAACCTAGGTATGAATTTCATCCTTTTGGTTTGTCTTTAAGTTGATTCTTGCATGGTCCATGTTTAATTGTAGAGATAAGCTTTGTTTTAGTTCTTACATGTTGATATAGAGCTCATTTCATGTAGGCATGTTTGAATTGATGAGTTTGAGTTGTTTCATGGCAAAAGGGTACATGCATGTTCATAATTATGTTAAGTCCATGATTTCACCATGTTTTGAAAAGAATCGGCTCCTTAGAGCATCAAATTGGAGCTTCAAAATGATTTGAATTCATGCATGTTTGCGTGTTCATATTGTTCATGAAATTGAGTTTGAATTAAACACCCTTGGGTTTTGATTTCTCAAATTGAGCTTTGAACCATGTTATTTTATGTGTTTATAAATGTTTTCCAGAAAATGGGCCCAAGAGGATTGATTTTGATGCATTTAAACTTGGTTTTGG